AGAACAACCACCTGGTTTTGAGGATCCTATCCTTAAAGATTATGTCTATAAACTCGATAGGGCTCTTTATGGTTTGAAACAGGCTCCTAGAGCTTGGTATGAAAGACTTTCTACATTTCTTCTTGAAAATAGTTTCACACGTGGGAAAGTTGATAGGACTTTGTTTTTTAAAACTAAAGGAAAAGATCTTTTGGTTGTACAAATATATGTTGATGACATAATTTTTGGTGCAACTAATGACCTTTTGTGTGATGAATTTGCAGGTTTGATGAAACAAGAATTTGAGATGAGTTTAATAGGTGAATTAACATTTTTTTCTAGGTCTGCAGATTTCCCAAACAGAAAAAGGAACCTTGATTCATCAACAAAAATATCTCAAAGAACTCTTGAAGAAGTACGGAATGGTGGACTCTAAACCTCATTACACTCCAATGGCCACTGGTAATAGAGTGACTGACGACAAAGATGGTAAGGATGTGGATGAGAAAATGTATAGAGGTATGATAGGATCCCTTTTGTATCTAACTGCAAGTAGGCCTGACATTGTCTTTAGTGTAGGATTGTGTGCAAGATTTCAATCCAATCCTAAAGAATCTCATTTGAAATCTGTCAAAAGGATCTTAAGATATCTAAAAGGAACTGATAAATTAAGTTTATGGTATCCAAGGGGTGCTAATTTTGATCTTGTAGCATATAGTGATGCGGATTTTGCAGGGGATCTTGTCCATAGGAAAAGCACTTCAGGTATGGCTCAATTCCTTGGTCCTTGCTTGGTGACTTGGGGTTCTAAAAAACAAAATTCTGTTGCCTTGTCTACTACAGAAGCTGAGTATGTTTCAGCTGCTCTTTGTTGCACTCAATTATTATGGATCAAGCAACAATTGGTTGATTTTGGTATTAATGTTGGTTGTATGCCCATTTATTGTGATAATTCTAGTGCCATAAGTATCTCCAAAGATCCTATCCTGCATTCTAGAACCAAACACATTCACATAAGGCATCATTTTTTAAGGGATTGTGTTGAAAAAGGATTAATTCAGATGAATTTTTGTTCCACTGAAAATCAACTTGCTGATATTTTTACTAAACCATTGAGTAGGGATAGATTTGAAAAGTTGAGATTGGAACTAGGATTGATTAGCTATGCATAAGTTCATATCTTGCAACCCCGATGATTGGCTAGAAAAGGATAAATTTCATATTGTTGGTTTACCTTGAATGCCTGAACATTGACTTCAATGGTCCTTTAGATTTTTTACTAAATATTTGTGCACTGAGATCAGTACATATTCATATCTCTTCTCAACCCTATATATCTTTTTTATCACAACTGATCATTATGTTCATTGTGGTTCCTTATCCATATTGTTGTTTCTGTCTGTATCAGATGCTTATAATTCTTATTCATGGTATCTTGCAGCCACCCTAGTTGGCTAAATGGAGATTCATTGGAGTATAACTCAATTTATTTGGTTAGTCATGTGTATCATGTGAGTATATGAGAAGAGAGAAACACCCTATGAGAGAATGGAGTAATCTAGAACTTGTGTAATTGATGCTTACATCTTATGGTTGAGAAATTTCTCGTTTGAATTGAAACTCAGAGACTGAGCCTTACTCTTTTGAACATCTCTAGCCATTCTTTAACCCCTCCCCCCCCCCCCCAAAAAAAATAAAATAAAATTTCTACCATATTTTTTCCCTGTTATCTCATTTCCTCCGGTACTTGTCCCACTGATGAACCATTCTCTAACTCTCAAAGGGTACTGCATTGGTGGAAAATGTTCTATTTGAAGTCATGTACAGGGTACTGCAAAGCTGTACACTCAAAAAAGAAAAGAAAAGAAAAAAAGAAGCGGGAGCAAATTAAAAAAAAAACAAGGGGAACACCTAGAAAGGAAGGTATTAATTGCTCATAGATTTAATGATCAATTCAAATATGTGAGCTTTTGGCAGCTTGAAAGGTTTCTACGGATAAGTCAATATGAAGAATACAATGACAAAGCCCCATTGATGAAAGGAAGTCATCACCAAAGGATCTTAACATTTATAGTTTTGCCTAGTTTTGACTTGTAGTGTGTACCCTTTGGCTAACCCACTCCAATTGCCTCCATACTTTTCACACCTTGTCTTCCTTTACCAACAAAAATAAAAAATCCTACCTTTAACCGCTATGGTTTTCAATTCTGCTTGGAATTTCTACATCTTAAGATATTGATAAGTGGTCATGATATACAAGCCTATGGAGAAACTCTGTGTGTTAACTGTAAAACACTTGAGAGAGCACTTTTCAGTGAAAAGAAGCATGATTTGCCAAATTATTGTTTTATGCTGCTATGAACTTTCTATTTAGCCTACTCATATATCTCTCCATTGATACTTTAATAGTGTCTTGACTTCACTTGGTCTCTTGATAGTGTTTCAAAATTTGAATTTTTTTTTTGCTATTTTCCTCTCAATTAAGCAATTTTCTTTTCTACACTTACTATTTCACAGCCTCATTATATTCATACCTATTCTTTCTATTCTTTTGATGATGCCAAGAGGGGGAAAATAATATGATGCCTATGCCTATGCCTATGCCTAAGTAGATTAAATGAGGTTGCTGCATTAGTTTGCTGATTTATTTTGCACATTAGTTGCTGAATAATACTAGTACTGCACAATTAGTATTATCCATATACACTAGCTGATTTCATGCCAAATTGGTTCTGTTTTATAAATTATTTTTAGCATGACAGAAAATTCTTTTTGCACTGAAAATGGTTCATATGTTAGCACTCCATTTGCAGTTCCCATTACCATCACTAGCTACTCCATATTTTGTCACTTTATCCTTATAACATCAATTGCTTGTCATCATCAAAAAGGGGGAATTTGTTGGCTATTGCATTGGGTTGTTCTGATGCTAACAAACAATTGAAACCATAATGATTAATGTTTGCTATTTTTACGTGTGCAGCAGCAACGATTGGGAAGGACCAAGTCAAACACTTGAAGGTTGAAAGAATGAGGATAAAGAATCAAGACAGTTGAAAGATAACAATCTATTGTTGAGATGAAAGGATTGGATTTTGAATTCTAAAAGATAATATTTGAAGAAAGGGAATATTAAGATAAGGTTGCAGCTTTGACAACAAGATTTTAAATATCAAGATATGCTCCCAGATTTTATGGCTGATGATATGAAGAGAGAGAAAAAAATAGGCAACTAAAAGTGGGATATTTCAAATTGATGGAAGAAGATAAGAATGGGTCAAACAAAAGTTATCTATATATACAAGACCTCTGCTGATCAAAAGAGACACTTCTCTCGGGGGCTTTTATAGAGGATTGCACTTAGTTTAAAAAAAAATTTAAAGTGTCATCTTTTATTCTTTTGAGAAGTATTAGTAAAGTTTTTTTGTGTGTGTTATTCTAGCTATTGTTAGAGTTAACAATAGGGGAGCAATTGTCTTGGCACAATTGGGGAACTTAGACCTAAGGGGTTAGGTTGAAATAGCAATCTCTATTGTGAGATTGGGGTTTAGATTTCAAGAGTAAATTGGGGTTAATTTGTACTTGAAATTATTGAGATCGTGGTTGTTTTACTCCCGTGAGTTCAGGAGGTTTTTCACGTTAATTTTCTGTGCCTTTTATTTTTAAATTTAATTTTGGTAAAGAAAATTAAAAATATATTTTCACGTAATTGTTAAAATCTTCTATCACTCAATTCAACCCCCCTTCTTGAGTGTCACAGGGACTAACAATTACTATAACTGCTCTCTTACCATATGATCCACTTGGTGGTCTTTCTTCCATTTTTTGTCCGTGGTTTAATTCAAGTAAAATAAAATCTTTACCAAGCAATTGATGTATAAGATTCTGCTGTAGCTGACTAAAGCTATAATCAAGTTGTTGACTAGTGGCTATAAGGAAGGTTAGATGTATAATTGTACGTTATGTATACAGTAATAGCATCTTTTAACAATAAAAATATCCTAGAACTAACATTAACTTCTTGGTTTTTTTTTTTTTTTTTTTTTTTTGTAAACAACTTCTTGCTTTTAGGGTGTAATCAGTTTTGGATAAAGAATTCTTCACTATGTTGTGCAGGTACGGGTTATAAATATTAATATGACACCGTGTAAAATGCACGTGGTATTAGCAAGTCAGGGTTGATTTCAATTTCAACTTTCAAGAAATTTAATTTAAAATTTATTAAAATGTGTTAATCCAACAATTATATGATTACGTAATCCACGTATTATATTTATATTATTAGCTTGGGTATACTACATTCGAAGTTGTATAAGGATATAATTAAAATACAGAAAAATATTTGTGCAGATACTCCAGATAAGTTATCTACATTTACTTTAAAAAAGATGTCGTTTTGGAATTTAAAAATTAAAAAATTATAAATATAAATACTATAATAACCCTGAAATAAATTAAAATTACAAAAACACCATAATTTTCATCCAACTGCGCAGAAAAAGCGAACCCATCAAAATATTGAAAAACCTTTTTTTTTTTTTGGTGGACAACGTATTTCGCAAACATTATTATGAGATTATGAAGAGGCCTTCTCAATAATTATTTTCTTCATAGGGCGTTTGGTTGAGTAGAAATTTTTTGAATACTAGGAAAATGTAATAGATAAGGAAATGATTGGAAAGTGAGATAGGTAGAAAAATGTAAAAAAAAATTGTTTGGTGGAGAAAAAATTTACTGGGAAAATTAGGTAATTTTTATAAAATCAACAGTGCATTACCCGGTTTTCCAAAAAAACTATCCTCAAATTTAGTTTCTAAACGGTGCGAATATCTATCTTTCTCAACAAAAGTTGATAAAGCCATACAAATTGCATAGATGAGAATTCGGTGAAAATCTATTCAAACAAAAATTATGTTTCTAAAAACCATACTTGATTTGCAAGGAATTTGTTGAAAAGAAGGCAACCAAACACCACCTTAATCTTTGAACTTTAGTCTTTTGTCCAAGTATGGAAACCTGGAAGCACTTAAACCTTATCAATAGAACAACTAAACAGAGGTTTAGTATAAAAGCAGAGGTCTAATATTCTTAACCTCCTCTCGTATCATTACTCTTATTTTACAGAGTACAGATCAGTAGAGTTGTAGCTCCTATTCATTATTAGTAGCATAACATGACATAGTAGATCATATTGGGCAATATATATCAAAAACAGATATATCATACTTAATCAATAGTTGTGGTTCGTTGTTGAGGCGTTAAAGTCATCATCGACAAAGTCACCACTGTTATTTATAGTGCGGCACGGTCACCTGAATATGCGCCACTGTTGATCTTTGCATTGGAGAAATATTGTTTCCCAGTGCCATAATTGTTGAATGAGTTTAGAGTACCATCATTGGACCCTTTCGCTGCTTCCTCAGCCTCCAGAAGGGAGCGTAGTTCCTTCTCTTCGTCATTAAATCCATCATAACTCAATTTCAACACACTTTGAATTTTATCATCAGGAATCCTTCTTAATTTCTCTAATGCACTCTCCCATTCATTTTTACTTTTTGAACGAAGAAAAGAACCCACAACCTTCAAGACTAATGGCAAGCCTTTAGCATAAGCAACTGCACTATTTGATAACTCTTCGTACCCCTTTAAAGGATAGTTCTGTTTAAAAGCATTCAAGCTGAAAAGCTGAAGGGATTCCTCCAAGTTCAATTTCTTTACATTATGTATTTCATCAACTCCTTTCCATAGGAGAACATGCATGTCTCTGGATGTAATGATGATTTTACTGTCCGATCCAAAGCATTGAAGTTCTCCGTCCAGATATTCTAATTGCTCTGTAGTACTCACATCATCAAGCACAACAAAGACTCTTTTATGAGAGAGCCTCCTCTTAACTACAACGGATTCCACATTGATTTCTCTCTCATATTCTTCTAGAAGCTTGGAAACTAGATCTTTGCGAAGTGCCTGTTTACCTTTCTCAAAATTTTCCCTTATATTTTCTAAAAAACATGATCCTTCATATTGAGAAGAGCATTTGCCAAATAACCATTTAGCAATGGTGGTTTTACCTATGCCACCCATGCCCCAAATTCCAATGGTTTGAAATTCCATTAATAATGATTCAATAGGTGCAATGTTTTCATCGGTGCCAAAGGGGCATTTTGATTCCCTTGGTGGGTACTTGTATTCCAATTTTTTCGAAACATCTTCAACAATCTGTTTGATTAGTGTCGATTCCTCCCTAACACGTGCCAAATAAAATTTAAAGTGAGTGAAAGGATGATAATTATTGTATAACAATTAAAATAAAAAACCGAAACATAAGACTTCATCATCAATCTCATGCTACGAGTGTATTTTAGTTTATATCTTACTTCTATATAACGATAGTTTGGGTTATTTAAAATTCATTTTTCATATACTTTTGAGGGTGTCCATATTTCTTGTGTGTGGGAGCTGTGCATAGGATATTGTGGCTGCAAAGGGGGTGCAGATCAATAAAATGCAAATGGAGTTTCTACTTTTTAGAAGGAGGAAGGCTGTAATAGAAGCATTTTGCAGTTTCTAATAGAAGCATTTTCTAATTGCAGTTTCAGAGATGAATGATCCACTTGATCTAAATGTGATTAATTATAAGAATCAAGAACATCTTAACGTTAACAGACAAACCTTGCCATTTTTATATTAATGGAAGGCTTTAGATAACTTTTCTTATTATTTTAACAAAAAAATTAGTTTATCACAAGCGAAACCAACTATAGTTGAATACCTCTTTAAACTACAAGTATTAAGTGTATAAGGTTTTTTACGTATTTGGAGAATCCTTATAAAATAAAAAAGCTTTCAAGGACGTTTGGTACACGTTATTCTTTAGGATTATGGAGAAACTGAATTTTTTTTAAATTTTAATTTTCGGATATTATCATAAACGAATGTTTTTATCATATTTTAAAAAATTGAAATTTTTGAATAAAAAAAATTACTCATCTCCCAAAGGCTCCCTTGATAATGTTCTATTCATGGATCGTTATAAGTGAGACGAAAAGAAAACAAAGACATATAGTATCAGTTAATTTTTAAGCACCGTATGAAAAAATGAACTTGTAAAAAGCACAATACTTACCCGAATTTCCCAGAGTCAAACCCGGCTAGATTGGCTGCTTCAAACAGAGCTTGTTTCCACTCGGTCAACTTGTCTTGGTTGTTTCTGAAATCTCGTTCATGTTTTTTGAAGGCTTCCTCGTAACTCCCTTTCTGCTTCCGCACGTTTGATGGGTCAATTTTATAGAAGACAGGTATCACTCCCTGTCCCTCTTTCCTGCATTCGAGTATTTTAAGGAGTTCATCCAAGCACCACTTTGAGGAAGCGAAGTCTTGTGAGAAAACGATGATCGATATGTGTGAATCTTCAATTGCTTTGGAAAGTGCTGGCGAGATCTCATCTCCTTTGTTCATTTCGTGATCCATGTATACTTGGATCTGCTTTTGAAGCATAGCATGACGAAGGTGGCTTGTGAAGTTGCTCCGAGTGTCCTCGCCTCTAAAGCTAATAAAAACATCATATCTTTTTGGATGAAATGAAGCAGCATAAGAAGAAGAAGAAGATGGAGCATGAGGTGCCATGTCCTGGATCTAATTGACTAAGTCTTCTTCGACAATAACACTGCTAAGGGATTTTTTTTATTTATTTTTTTTCCAGTGAGACCTAATTAAAAAATTGTCACTTGTATATAGAGTATGTGTGAAGGGGATAATGGGTGGGTCCTAGTCTCTCACGCGGGTGGGGTAAATGACTTTTCCTGGTTTCCCAGCTATTTCCTGGACGCCTCTTGCGTTGTGTTTGTTTCGGGAGATGTTATGAACCCACGTTTTGTTGAAGCATTCGGTAGTTTTGTCTGTCAATTCACTTTGTCCAGCAATCGAGGAAAACTGGTTAAAATATTGTTGAGATGCCCTCCGATTCTGTGGTATTTCTATGAGAAAACCGGCTAAATTTTGGTTTGTGATACAAAAGGGTTATTTTCTCATTAATATTTTATCTTCAATCAAACATATATTCACGAGTTTCATTCAATTTTCTTGGTAAAATTTTGTCCAACCAAACAACTTTTTTAAAATTTTCCTATCTAACTCACTTTCCCTGCAGATCCCTAGTATTTACATTTCCCTAATAAAAAAAAATTTCACCTCAACCAAACACCACCTTGGAAGTTTAAAAAATGGGAATTATTATCTTCATATGACAGAAGATAATAAGTCTTTCCTACACACACAAAAATATGGGATTCACTTCAAAAAAATTTTTCTCTTTTTCCTATACAATGGGTCCCATATGAGCTTGTGAGTGTAACATGAAATATCTTATCTCATGTTAAATATAATTCCTTAAGAAATTGAGTGTGATGGCAATTTTTAAGAGACACATTAATGATTCAAATAACATACAGGATTTTCATGTTTATTTAATTGATATTCATATGGGAAAATTGTGTGTGTGGATGTAAAGTTATGTCATTTTAAATAGAGAAAGAGATAGATTATGGAAGAAAAGTGTACAAAAAATAAAAATATGGATCTCACATCTTTGTGAGAGTAAAATGATACAGGTTGTGTCATTTAAAAGAACAAATATTTTTCCCTATTCATATTCCGGTGGAATTTATATATAGAAATTGAATAGACAATTTATTGGTTATGAATAAGAAGTGGGTTAAGGAAGAAAAGAGAAAAAGGAAGTTGAAGAGGTGTGTGGGTTTAAGAAGTCCCACATTAGACAACTAGTAGGAGGTGAGAGAGTTTATAAGCTCTCACCTCACACTACTAAACTGCCCGTTAGGGCACTACAAAATTTTGTGGAGGGGAGAGGAGCTAGGTGGACTTAGGTTCACCGCATGCGCGCCACTGCCGTCGTCAGTCCGGCTGACCTTCTCGATTCGGTTGTGTGAATAAAAATAATTTTTTATTAAATAATTTTTTAACTTTTTATCCAAAATGCCCCTGTCTGTTGCTTCTCTCTAGTTTTTTCAAAACCCAAACATTTCTACCCGCCGATTTTTTGAACCGGACCGGTTCTTACCTCTTCCGAACTGGTCACCGATTGTACTTGTTCCCCCGAACCGGTCACCAGTCGTACTCGTTCGCGGCCGTCAGTCACGGCGATTCGCCGCCGGCGGCGGTTCATCATTACCGGTCAGAATCTATAAATAGACCTGACACCTTCAGAAATTTTATCCAATTTTCTGCACTGTTACTCTGCCGGATTTTTTCTTCTTCCGGTTTGCATCCTCATTTCTGATTTTCGGTGTACTTTCCTCTGGCATATTGTTGTGTTCGTTTGGGCTGTCGATTGGTAATGCTGTCACTCCTCAAACGAAATATGTTATATCCTGGGAGACACTTGTCCATCAACCTTTAGCATCAGTGAGGGAACAAATTGTCTTAAGGAGACACATTCTGTGAGCTCAAATTTTTCCATTATTCTGCATAGTCTGTTCCATTATACTAACATCAAGTAAGTCTTTTTTAATTTTTATAAGTGCACTGTGTATGATAATTCTGATTATTAATAGATCCCATTAATAAAATGTAAATATATCTAAACGCAACTGACAGATGCTAAATGATATTAAATAATACATTATTATTTATTAAGCCAATAATGACCCATAAGCATGCTTTGTGGTTGTTGTTCATGTCTATGTAGCACCAATATCGATACCGGACACGAGACACCTCCGTTGCACGGACACGCAAAATTTTGTAAAATTTGCGTGTCGGACACGTGTCCGACACGGACACGTTCCGACACGCTCGGACATGCGTCCGACACGAACACGTTCCGACACGCTCGGACACGCGTCCGACATACGGTCAACATTTGGGGACACGCGGTCAACACTCCGACACGTGGTCAATATTTTGGGATACGCAGTCAACATTTGGGGACACGGTCGGACACGTTTTTTTTTTGTTTTTATTTTTATTTTTTTTATTTTTTTAAATCTTAATTTTATTTTGTTAACTAAATATAAAAGAAATAATTTATAAATTAATTTTTTTCTGTTATGAAATTTGACATTAAAAATTAACAAAGTACAAAAAATTATTTATATTTATATTTATGTTATGAAATTTAAATATTTGATTGGTTATATGACTTATTATGGATTCTTATATGTATTAAATATAAATCATATTATATATATTAAAAATTTTATTTAATATCTAAACGTGTCCCAACGTGTCTAAATATGACATATTTTAGAATTAACGTGTCGGCGTGTCGTGTCCCGTGTCCGTGTCCGTGCATCATAGCGAGACACGACACGACACGACACTTTGACATGTTAATTTTAAAAAATATTAAATTTCGATACGTTAGGACACGTTTTGATATTAAATAATATTTTTAAGTTATGTTGTATATATTATATTTAACATTTAATAATTTAACGAAAAAATGAAGCTAAACTTATAATAGCCATCAATTTTACAAAGAAACATAAGATATCCCAAATATTTATATTAAACTCAATAAAATGGTAATCTTAATCCAACGAATCTAATAGTTGGAACTAAAAACGCAACACAACGATCCTTTGAACCTTTTTTTGAGTCTCTACAATGTATGTTAGAGTGTTGGACACGACACATCAGAATTTTTGAAGTATCTGTGCTTCATAAATTCCTTGATACCCATATATATATATTATATATAGAGGCAGGATCCTTTGACACCTCATCTGAGAGCCGTTAGATCAAAAAAGATCAATGGTGTCACATGCTTACAAATCAGAGTCGTTGATCTTTTTTGATCTAATGGTTCTCAGATGAGGTGTCAAATTTCAAATTTGACACCGGTGTCAAAGGATCCTACATCATATATATATATATATATATATATATATATATATATATGAACTTATCATTTCTCAAGCTGCCAGAGATAAAGTTATCCCCGGTTACTAAATCATAACCGTACAAAGATGGATCAATGGTGATAAAGGAAGAGAGAGAGAAAGGGGAATCATAACCATTCAAAGGTGAATCAATACATATAAGGAAATAAATAATCAAAACGACGTAGTTTTGGGATGGCCGGAGATAAATTTGTCTCAAGCAGCCTGAGAAATGTTTTTCCTATATATATATATATATATATATATATATATATATATATATATCCCTTCCCTCCCACACTCTAATTTTTTAACAATCATGCTTTGTTGTTGTTCACACATTCCAAATATGAGTTTAAATTCTCAATCCTTAACGATGGCTGTGTATCACGATGATAGAAAATAATATTATTTTGATCCAATAATAACAAAATGGTTATAAGAAAAAATATGTTATACATATAATCTTTTCTCAAAAGAATATGTTGAATATTTTTGCTTATTTGTTAATAGGAAAATACTATATGAGATAGTTATCTCATGTTCTCTCACTTCGGAAATAGCACCTCTTTTTTTTTCTCTTTCTTTTTACTTTTTAATGGTGAGTCCCATTTAAATTCTCTCTATAGCATTAGAGAACTACTCTCATATAACATGAAAATAATATTCCCCTTGTTAATAAACCAAAGCAATTATTTAAGAAGTTAAAAATTAAAATAATTACGTTATGTTGTTTTTTCAATAATGTAATACTCAAAGAGGGGCAAAAAAAATTAATTTATTACTTTTTTAATAAAAAATTATGAATAAGTAGTCGTTTTGTAAAATATTACGAATCTATAGCATCCAAACACGCCCACATGAGGTGTGTTCTCTTGGAGAGAGACACGCCCATGTGGGGCGTGAGCTACTGAAGGGGACATGACAACGTAGGGCGTGTATGGCAGGAGAGAGACACGCCCCTGATGGGCGTGTTCTTCGTGGTCTATATATATGTGACTTAGGTATTAGATATGGACTTAAAAATTAATTAGTTACTTCTAAATTGGTATATATTGGTTTTATGACTTATTTACACACTTAGAAATTAGTTTGTGACAATAAATATTTTTTTATGAATGACACTTGCAAACATATTGACCTTTCAATTAACCACATTATAATTAGGGTTTGTAAAAAAAAATACCGTATGCAATATTAATTTAAATTGAATTTGAATTATTTAATGTATTGAAATATATTTTTAGAATAATGTAATGTTAAATGAATTAATTGTCAATGATGTTAATTTAATTGAAATTAATATAACAATTGAAGTTAGTTAAATGCTATTTAATTAAGTGTAATTAAATTTTATTTAGTGTAAATTAATATAATATCAATAGTAATTTGGGTACATCTTTTTCATTTGTAGTAGTATCCTATTATGGCCCATTCGTCTTCATCAGAGTCCTCGCGCTCTGGATCCGATGGTGATCTTGAGCCATCCGATCCTTGTACGCATGTACTTCCTGGCCCATATAGGTGGGAGGTACTCTGTAAGAGGACACAGCGCAATCACGTTTCACAAGTTGTGTGGAACGAGGATAAGGTCAGGGGGTTAAAGACGAGGCGAGGGAAACTTCAGGGAGACCCCATCATGGTGATATACCAGATGTTGTCGCTGACTATTTGACACAGGCTGGGTTCATACACGTGGCACGTATGAGTCATATTCAGGTATGTAATTTTTAAATTACTTAATTAAATTACCGTATGTGGACTTTTGTATAATTGTTGTTTTTCCTTCAGATCGATACCCCCTTGATCTCTACTTTGGTTGAGCGTTGGAGACCGGAGACACATACATTTCACATGACGCAGGGAGAGACGACCGTTGCATTACAGGACGTGGCTGGTATACTTGGTTTGCCTACTGACGGGCAGGCAGTTACCGGATCTATAGCGTTGGATTGGATTGCTATGTGACAACAGGTTTTTGGGACTTCCCCTGTTGCGGGCACAGACATTCACGGAGGCGATCTACGTATTTCTTACTTAGACAGGATATATGCTGATTGGTTTACAGTAGCACACAATCCTGAGGAGGTGAGGCGTTACACCAAGGCAATCAACAACTTTCCCTTATATTTTTCGTATAGATGAGTGCCATCAATTTGTATCATTGGTTTGCAAAATTTAAATGCCTCACAACATTGTCTGAAAGTCCAGAAACAACGAACAAGTACACGTTTTTCGGGAACCAACTGCCCCGCAACAAAACAATCCTTTGTTTGAATATTGTAAAAGGAACCTAGTGAAAAACGAAGCATATATTCACACCAGCTGGGTAAAAATGCATAGGATTCCTCCCAATCACCATATAACATTGCCATGGCTTTCTGCTTCGCATACCATGCCTTTCTATATGAAACTTTGAATCCATATGAATGAGTTATCCTCTCCTGAACGAGCGCAATGGCCACTGAAGGTTCCTTTTTTATCATCTCTGAATTACAAAAGCTGGATATAAACATTAACAGAACAACAGGTATATCAACTGCAATTTTAATCAGCTTTTTAATTTGAAATTACGTACCTACTACAAGTGCTGCAATAACGTCAGAATCAAGTTGTCGATGATATTGAGAAAGATGGTCATTCAAGCAATTGTGATTCCCATCCCATTTCGTTACCTTCCAATTTTCACCATACGTTGGTTTAATTACCCTGATCCTCCACGGGCAACCTTGGACGTGTGCACAACATTTCATGCTTAATTTTGTGGGAGTGCTCTCAACCACAATTGCTTCTTGATGCTCCTTCATAAGGTAGCGCTTGATTTCCATCTGAGCCTCTTTTTTGGATGTAAAGTGTTGGTTAACAAACAACTTTTCTCCCAATTGCCATGGACCCTGGATTGAACCCGAACTCTGCGTCCATGATTGTGCCTCACTCGGATAATCCCAATCAATATATGTGTAATGTGGAATTTCTGACCAAAAAGGATCAACAGATGCATCGCCTACATGTACTACGTAATAATAATAGAATTGAATTATTTTTTAATCAAAAATTGCAACAACCAAATTGTCAGTATATTAATTGATAGCATACCTTCAGGATGTTCTGGTACTTGACTCGATGTTGTGTCATGATGTACAACGATACGAGACTCCCCCAAATCATGCCATGGTTGAAGTTCAGTACCAGACCTGCCACATTCTTTGTCATTGTCCGATGCACTCGTATCCTCTGCAAGAAGACGATCCTCCATTGCAATATTTTCCTCATCATCTTCGTCGTACTCCTCATCCATAACCCAAGTAGGGTCATGTTCATCTTCCTCAGACATGTTAACAGCAGATGAGGATGCATTAAGAGGAGAAGTAGACCTAACTGACCTCATTGGTATAACAACTTCCTCCGCGGTGGTATTATCCACATACAATTCTAAGAAATCCTTTCTGGACTTGTTCAAGAACTCTTCCATTACCATATCGATGTCTTCGTCATCGACCACTTGCAAGCTAATGTACTGTTCACATTGCCATAATCTTTTTTTTTTGAAATAAACATTGCCATAATCTTGTCGTGACTGGAGTGATCAATTGGTTGTCTTGAAGACATAATTTTTGACGTATTTTCTGATGCAGCTCAGCAACCGTTGAGTTCCGTTTAATACGTGATGGCCTTTTCTCCCCTACAAAAATAACACAACGACAACCTTCTTCTTTCCTACCGTTAAAATATAGAACAACACGAATAGTATCAGAATTCACACTCATTTTTAAAATCAAAATTTAAAAAGATAAAACAAAATATGAGTAAACAAGTGCAAACTATCAGAGAGTTTAAGCATAACAATGAGAGAGTTGTGAAGAGTGTGTAGGGGGGTGGGTGTTTAAATAGACTGCAGTTTAGTCACTCACGCCCAGTTGGGTGTGACCTTCCAGTGGAACACGCCTATGTTGGGCGTGTCTACCATCATAGCTCACGCCCCATAAGAGGCGTGTCTCTTTCCTGCCACTCACGCCCTACATTGAGCGTGTCCCCTTCAATAGCTCACGCCCCATATGGGCGTGTCTCTCTCCATGACAACACGCCCCATGTGGGCGTGTTTGGGTGCTATAGATTCGTAATATTTTGCAAAACGACTACTTATTCGTAATTTTTATTAAAAAAGTAATAAATTGTTTTTTTGCCTTATTAATCTTTCAAACAAAATAGAAGAAAAAACATTTAACTACAGTGCTAGTTTCAGACTAACCCATCTTTAATTTTAATTTCTAAAAAGTTATTTATAAATGCAATTTTGATCTAAATCCAACGGCTGAGATTCCATGACGGAGTGTGTTCAACCTATCGAACTTCAGGAGCAGAACAAGTGCTTCAATCAAACATGGCGAAAAAGGCTAAAGGGTCTCTCTCCGCTTCTTCTGCCTCTGCTACTGCTAAACGCTCCACGAGACCCTCTGCCTCTGCGTCTTCTGGGTACCCTTTTCTTCTCAATTTCTCTTTGTCAATGGTATCACACTTTATTATCGTGTCTCCATTTCTTCCTCTGCTCTTCATATTTTCTTCACGGTTTCACAGTTCCACTTACTTTCTCTGTGGTCCCCAATGGAACCCAGAAGAAGGAATGGTCAAAATAAAAGTAAAGTTCTCGTTTTTGTATTTTTTTAAATATGTCTATGTAATCTGGGGGAATCTATGAAGAAGGAGATAATAGATTATAAAATTTTAGTGGGACTGTGTAGTAATTTTTTGTTGTATTTTGCAAGTTTTTATATCGTTTCACGTACTGGGAAATTGAAGAGGGTAGTTTGTGCATACTTTTTCCTTTTTCCTTTTTGGATTTCTTAGATTTCTCTACTGGTTCATTATTTACAACTTAATCCGGTTTGAGCACTACTGAACCCATATAAGGGTGGGCCTCCAAAATCATTTTCTCCATTCTCAATGCTTGAACTGATTAAGGGGAATAAGCTCATTACCACTTGAACCAATGATTGTTGGTATATTTTTTCTTTCTTTGGATAGAGTTTTGCATTCATTTGAAAGATCGATATTCAACATTTACTTGTTCAAAGTTGATGGAAAACAGGTAAATAGAACATAAAAGTGGGTGGGATTCTGTTGTTGATTTTGATGTGATGTAGTGATGACTTTAGACTTTAGACCAGAAACTGAATAAAGTGATGCCAGTGTGAAGTTTAACTGGCTCTAGGTTTACTCCTCTGGCCTTAGGTGTTTCCGGGAGGAAATTTGATAATTACATGTAAATACCACTACCTATTAAACCTCGACCAGCAAGGGTGGACAATACTTGTACGCAACCTTGCACTTGCATAAGATAATTACATGTAAATATATTCCTTAATAATTGAAAACATTGTTGATTTTTTCAGCAAACTAGTGTTGAGGATTAAATCAAATGAGGCAATGAAGAGACCGGTGCGGCAGATTGATTCAAGAAAGAAACCCAAAGCAAAGAAAAAGAAGAACAAACAAAAGATTGATGCTAAGAAGCCAAAGAAACCTCCAACTGCTTTCTTCTACTTCTTGTACAGCTACTTTTGCCTCCCCTTTTTCTTTATTTATGCTGGTTACTTGTAATCTTTTATGAGGGGTCAGTACTACTAGCTACTCTTTTTATTTGCCATTTGTTAGAATTCTTTATGGAAAATATTTAGTATGAATTTAGCTCCATTTTATGTATGTATTTCCAAGATGCCTGGCATTTGCATAGCTTTGTTTGTATATATTGAAATATTAAGCTCTCCCAAAAAGTAGCAACATTTTTAGCGGTTTATATTTTACAATGAATAACCCATAGTTGATGTTATATGCTTACTTTCTTTTGTCATCCTACTGACCCTAGCATTTGCCTTTGGAGGTAATGTTATCACTGAAGTTGATGGGATTCTGTTGTATTTCATGGGTTTTCACTTTTCAATGTATGCGGAATTGGAAGGTAGAATATATTTGACTTTAGAGGAATAATGCTGTGGAGGTAATCATTTGTTGAAAGTTTGCATATATACAGGTCGTTTTTGAAAGCATCACCACTTCAAGTTCAAGAGTCCAGACAACCATTCATCTTCAAACATGATTATCATGAGTCATTTAAACATGATTTTCTTGTGATAGTTTCCTTTCCTTGCTTCTAACTTGTTTTATTGTTCTTTGTTCAATATACTGATGTTTACTTTATATATGGCATTGTGATAATAAACCTAGCAAGGTGGCCATAGTTAACAACCATTTTCTTCTTTCTTGTATGGAAAATCTTATGATGCTTCAAAATTATTTTGTTTACTGGAAGTTCTTTTTCATTCTTAAGGGAGGATTTTCGTAAAGAATTTCAAGGGCTGAATCCAGATGTAAAGTCAATGCGGGATGTATGTATAGAATCCATTGTATCAATATTTCTTCTAATTTAGTTTATAATTTTAATTGCTCTTGAAGTAAGTTTGTTGCACAGTTGATTGTTTACAATTTTCCAATTTCTAAAAGGCCTATACAACACAAAAGTTGAGCAGGTTTTATACTTTGTTATGCAAATAGCAACTCATTGTTGTTGTTGTTGTTATTTCTTTAATTTTCTGCTAAGTAATGTAATTCATTTTTGTTTTCTTCCTTCCTATGTTCATTCAGATTGGCAAGGCATGTGGAGAGAAGTGGAAAACAATGACATATGAGGTTAGTACTCTGATACCAAATTGATGGAACCTAATTTTATTCATCTGAAATTGCGGAAAACAGAAATGGAGACAAGCTCCTTACAAAGATAATTGCAGAAAAGATGAACTAAAAGACCTCAACTCCCCCTTAGAACACACTACCCTAGGCTCCAAGAGTTCCCTAGAGATCCTTCCCCAAGTCCCACTCCAAATTCACTCGATACATGTCTACTCACAGAATATTCTAGAATAACTAACTAACTGACCCACTCACTTTTAGACCAATCAATACTGGAATGTTGGGTTCCATTTGCAAGGTATGAGACTTGGAGTCTCATATTGGTTGTATGGGCAACTAATGGGGGATTTATAAGGCCTTGGGCACTCCCACCTTTTAAGCTAGCTTTTGAGGTTGTGTATCCCAAGGTCTCATGCAATGGTATCAGAGCACCCATCACGTGGAGTGTGCACGGGGGCACGCACTAGGGAAGCGTGGTGGAATGGTGGGTTCCATTTGCATGGGACTTGGAGTCCTATATTGGTTGTATGGGCAACTAATGTGGAGTTTATAAGGCCTTAGACATTCTCACCCTTTCAGCTAGCTTTTGGGCTGGTACATTCCAAGGTCTCATCAATATACAATTTCGGAATTCAGCTAGTGTAATGCAGAAGTAGCATAGGTGTGTCCTCTGATTGGAATTCTTGGTTGAACTCAGATTTAATGCACAATTAAATTCTTAAGATACTCTGGTACAGACTATAGTCTTAAATTATCTCATTGTACATGAAATTTGGCTATGCACTGCATTATTAATTAAAATGGGAAAGTATAGTAGGAAACAAAACGTACTAAATCATCTTTAATTTCTTCATTGATTTGATATGAGAGTGTATTCTTTTGATTTTGGTGCTGTATTGGTGTTGGTGGCATTATAAATGGTATCTTTGCAGGCCTGTAATACTGCTTTGCACAAAATGTTTCGTTCTTGTTAGAATATGTAGAAAATATTTCATAATATCATATTGTATAAACCACTCCCAACTAAACCCCGACTAGCATGGGTAAGGATGAGTGCAATCCTTGTACGTAGCTTCACCCTTACATATTTGCAAATAAACTATTTCCTGAATTCAAACTCATGATCTTTTAGTCTCAAAGGAACAACTTTACCATTGCCTGAGGCTTGCTATCTTATGATATCATATTGTATCTTAGAATAAATAAACTATCTTAGGTGATCTTTTAAGATTGATTTCCAAGTTTCATTATATTTCATGATTTGTTCTCTTATTTAGTTAGGATCAGGACAGAGTATTAATATAAACTGGGGTTTGTTCTTTGTATTTTGTATCACATCCACACCAATATCAATATAATTTAATTATTTGAGTATTCCCTTCCTCTTTTGTCTTCCTTCTCTACCTAAAATCCTATAATTTCAACATGGTATAGAGAGGTACCATCCTTGGTGACTTTCCTTCACTATTTTGTTATTGAGTTCGCTAAAATTTGGAACTTTTGTTGCAAAGATGGTGTTAACTCCATGATTCTTTTTTTCCCGTTGGCCTTGCACATATTCCAGCCACCGAAACCCTAGACCAATGTCATTTTCTCTCTTTTCTGTGCTTTGGGGTGTCAGATCTACCCTCAACTGTGCATCTTCATACATGTCAGACCTTACTGCACATAGTTTATGTGTGTCTTTGCAATCATCTTGTAACTCATGAAAGTCTGACATGCTAAAGAAAAAAGAAAAAGAGAAGGGGTTCTGCACCATTTTTTTTAAACTGCCATCATTGTGGAGTCTGACTTGCGATTGAGTTAACATAGCTTTTGAGAAGAAACTTCTGCTTGTGTTAACTGTTTAGTCAATAATCAGTGTGTATGAGAGAGTGGCACTTAATTTTTCTGGGCATTCTTTTCCCTCTTTTTTTTTTATTATTATTTTTTGGCTAGAACATTGAATGGTATATAAAGAGAGCTTGTACTTGAGAGACACAACCTGTTTTATTCTAGGTCATTTGAATTTTTGTTGGTCATTGGAATGTCTTTCTGGACATGGTTGAGTAGGCTGGACATGTAGGCCCTTTCTGTTTATAATGATATAACTTTGGTTAGGATATGATTTTATATTCAATATGTAGACTAGATTTACAGAGTAAACATGCCAATGGGTTCCCCTTTTCTGCAGGAATAAAAAATACCAGTACATACTCATCAGTCCATTATTAATTATGTAGGTAGCCATACTCATTTGCTGTTGTGTTAGGAACCCTCTATTTAGGAAAGTATTTAGGATTGTAGGTTAAAAAAAAGAAGGATGGGCCCAATGATCAAGTCGGGTAGGCCCTGTTGACAATAGTAATTAGAGTTCATTGATGTTATAAAAAAAAATTAGAGTTCATTGATATTGTTAGATATATTAGATGGGGGTTACTTCTTATTAACTGATATGATAGATAAGATTACCTGTTATTAATTGATATAATTAGATATAGCATATAGAGTTACGCGATTTTAGGGAATATATTATTTATTCCAGATGATCCTTTTTTAGTCCTTTTCCTTTTCATCTCCCTCCCTCTTTCTTTAATTTCATATATATATATATATATTAAACTTTTTTTTTTATTCTTTGCTATCGTCCTATGTATCTTTAATATTATTTTATTATAATTTATTTTCTCTTTTAATTGTATACTGCTTTTTATGGATAAAGTTATATTTATATATAATTATATATATTTAAATTTTATTTTTATCTTTTTTTTCTCAAGTTTTTGTACCTTTCGTTTGGGTTCATCTACTACCGACCTCAACTAGTTTGGGATAAAGGTGTTGTTGATGTTGATGTTGACAGCTACTTGGTTTTCAAGATTTGGGAGGATGCTACTCTAGGTCAGCAGTAGGATAAAAGGAACAGAGAGCAGAGAGGGAGGCACGGTGAGATTAGAATTGAGTTGTGGGGAGAGACTAAGCTCTCAAAATCTTGGATATCATTTTCCTCTTCAATTTCCTAAATCCTGGTCTAGTTCTATCATGATGTTCATTCTGAATCAAGGTAGAACCAGTGTTTTAAAACCCCGTCCCACCCCCCGAGTTGACCCGGGTCAACCCTGACCCCTCCCCTCTGAGAGTTGGGGTCACAAGTTGGACCCTATATGCATATCGACCCCTCCGACCCTCAAAATCCAGTCGGGTTTCAGTGACTCCCGGGTCAGAGGGGTCAAAGGAGGTCATTGCATGTTTTTTTTTTAAAAAAAAAATTCAATAAAACAACATTGTTTTATTAAAAAAATAAATAAAAATGCATGCAAACCTAAATCTAATTGTTCTAATCTCTCCTAGTGACCTAAATGTTTTCAATCTTCACCTCACTGCTGTGAATCTTCTAGAAAAGGTAAGAATTTTACCCCTTCAAATGAAATCCTTACAGTTCTCGATGGAAAACAAAAACTTATTCTTACTTCCTTTAAATTTTCGTTTGTCAGAGACCTTATCAAAAGAGGCAGAACCGGGTAAGTGTAGTGACCCCATTAGAATATGAGTTTTGTACTTTGGTATCTTGATACTTTAATTAGGTTGTATAATATTGACTTGTAGTTGTAATTGGTGAATTATGTTAAGTATATTTTGAATCTTTGATGATTGGTGATTTTTTTTTTAATATTTTCATATAGGATATATCTATTTATATGTTTTTAATATATAAAACCGGGTCAGTATGTGACCCCCTGACTCCCCGGTTGAACCTGTGACCCCGTGACTCTTGGCCTTAGCCGGGTCGATGGCCGGACCGGATTTTTAAACACTGGGTAGAACTAGTTTTTGAAGTTTTTAATCACTTGGCGAAATGGAGCTTCAAGTTTTCATATAGTTTGTTCTATTAGATATGAGCAAATAGAAAAAACCACTTTTGGTTTTACATTAATAACACTAGTATCTGGCAGGAGAAGGTTCAATACTATGATATAGCAACAGAAAAACGTGCAGAATTTGATAGAGCAATGGCAGAATACAACAAGAAAATGGTAAGCTATTTGTCATATTCATGGCTAGTGAGCTGACTTTTATTTGCTCGGTTGTAAAATATACAATTTGTTTTGTACTGCTTGGCAGGAAAGCGGTGAATATGAAGAAACTGATGAGGAATCAGAGTTTGATGAGTAAAGCCATGTAATTATTTTCTTACTACGAAGGTTGTCTCTGTATTAATTGAAACTACTTGACTAAAAGTTGTATATTCAGTTTTAGTCAGCTCTGGTTTGTCCTTGTGAATAATTCTCATTTTTCTGTGTCAATGTATGTATGAACTATGAAGTACTAATGTTAGTAGCATTTAGATGTTTAAAATTGCAGGTTTGGGCATATATTTTGAGATATTGAATGCTAAGTAGATGGTTTTCCTTTTATTAACCTTGGGTTTAGTGAAAATTTGTATATTCAATTTCAATCTATTTGATGATAGATGAAGTAAATGATAGTTTATTTTTATTTATGTTTTTTTTTAACACTAGCAGCCATAAATTATAGAGGTTATGTTTTCAAGAGTGCGTTAGTTCGGGTCACATGCTAGTACGTGTGCCAAGTTAAATGAAGTGTGTAAAATTCACCATAATCGGAAAACAGTTTATTGTTAATGATGCAATCTCCACGGCTATTTTTGTAACACTCCGTATATATCCGATTTGTTAACATGTCATCGTATTAAGCTACGCTTAATTTTAAAATGTGGAATATTTTTTTCTTTTCAATTATGACGTCATTATCATTACCAACTTGCTTACTTAATCATTTTTCAAAACATTGCCTGTATGTAATTGTAAATAGACAACTAACTGAAATACCTCATATCATAAATAAGTGAGTATCTAAGTCACGGAACTACAATATGCAGTCCGCACAATATTCTAATACATTATTACAACTCGAAACAGACATAAGACAATCAATCAATGTGGCATGGACAATCTCCATGCTAACCAAATAACGCAACAAAGCCCAACAGCAGTCTCAGCTCAACAACAATAATCATAAAATGTAAAACAGATCAGCATTCATGCATGTCATCATAAAGCAGATAAACAACAGTCAACTCAGCTCCGGCCTCCTGCCGCTAGAGGTCTCAACCCTTGCATTACTTGAACCTGAAAATGGTGCCCCAAACGTGGGGTGAGATCTCTAAACAGAAATCTCAGGGGTCCTCAAGGACTCTTCCGCCCCAAGCTCACTTACATGCATAATATAAGTTCAAAATAGTAATTACAATGCATGTTCATGTTAAGCATATAAATCATGACAGTATAATCTCTTGCTCAACGAGCTAAACATTTAACTCAGTAATCATGTGATGTATGTAAATGCGGTTCAACTGGCCAGGGAACAGGATAGAGATTATGCACGTCTGCGACCCATCTAACATAAGAGTCGCAGTCTTATGCCTTACACACTAGAGTCGCTGTCTGATTGTATAAGTAACAACATCACTTTCATACACTACATGCCTTACACACCAGAGTAGCTGTCTGATTGTGTAAGTAACGACATCATATTCACACACTACATGCCTTACACACCAGAGTCGTTGTCTGATTGTGTAAGTAACAACATCATATTCACATATCTCAGACATAAATCATGCATATAACATTTTCATAAAAGCATCTCATGCATATAAACCACCCTCCCATGGAGGTTGGTGGAACAAACAACAGACTAATCCGAGGACACGAAAGCTTACCTTGCAAGCTAACAATCCAAACCAAGAGTCCACACAAGCTCAAGGCCCACAAACAGCACAATCGCTATCTGTTTAAGCAATAATTAATCAACAATAATCATTACTCAAGATTACACTAAGTGATTAAGGCTTTCTTACTCATTTTAACTCATTTCATGCTGTTTCTACAGGAGGTATTCGAATACTCCACGAGTAGTATTCGAATACTCTAGCTCTCCAGAAAGTATTCGAACACTACCAAGTATCCGAATACTTTTTCCCCCAGTATCCGAATACCACAGTATCCGAATACCAAACCTCACTGTATTCGAATACTTTCCAGTATTCGAATACTTCTTCAAAGGTATCCGAATACTTTTCTGGTTTCTTCCCAGAAAAGTATTCCAATACTCCTGCAAGGAGTATTCGACTACTAGTTTAAAACTACAGTTGCAACTCTTTCTAAGATTTTACTATGTTAAACTAGACATCTCAAGATTTCCAACGACATATCTTATGCCTCAATCGAAGTTGTAAAACTCCGGTTATGATTTTTGCAAAGTTCCTACAACAAGCTGAACTTCCAGCAATAGGGTCTCGACTTCAAACATACACTGAGAGAAATCCACTTATCCAATGGATCTGAAAATTTACAGGGTTGTAGCCCTATGTGTTAGCTTCACATAGGTCCAAACCTCACTCAATTTAGAGCTCTGAAGCTCGAGATATCGCAATTTTACTAAACTAGGTCGCTGTTGTCTCGCGAAGTATTCGATTACTGCCTTTTTCCAGGAAGTATTTGAATACTGCCCGAAAAGTATTCGAATACTTCTTCGACAGAATACAGAAAACTGAGTTTTAAAGGTAAAATTGACCTCCAATGATCCAAACTCGATTTGGAGTCCAAGAACTCCAAAAACAGATGTTTATTAACATGTCATGAACCCAGAAACACATTCCTTTTATCAAATGGTTCAAGTTACGATTTTTAATTGCTTAAACAAGCTAAAAACATCAAAATACACAAGGGTGATCATGGTATACCTTCCAATGCTCAAAACTTCGAAAATGGCACTGACTTGGAGCCTCCAACACAACTCTAAGGTACTGACTTCCCCAAGATACGAATTAAACACACCAAGGTTGGTTCTTTAAGCCAAAAGGTTACTACTTGGCAACACAAAAGTCATGAACAAGGCCTCACCAAGGTAGTTCACAAACTCAGCCCACAAACCACCACTCACAGCCACTAAACTGACTTCCCACAGCCACCACACTCAGAAAAAATACTCCTTTCACAATGACAAGGGAGTTTGAGATGACAGATCTCGGTCTGATGAAATATTTTCTTGGTCTGGAAGTCAGACAAGACAACTTGGGTATTTTTGTCTCTCAAGAGGCATATACAAAGGAGATTCTCAAAAGATTTAAGATGGCAAATTGCAACCCGGTTTCAACTCCTATGGAACCCGGTTCAAAACTCTCAAAGTATGATGGTGGAGATCGAGTTGACGCAAGCAACTACCGAAGTTTGGTGGGATGTCTTTGTTATTTGACATGCACAAGACCAGATCTTTCTCTGAGTGTTGGGATTGTAAGTCGGTTCATGGAGGAGCCGAGTTATTCACACTGGAAGGTGGCAAAAAGAATCTTGAGGTATATACAAGGGACAGCTTCATTGGGACTTCACTATTCGAGGTCCGAAAATTATAAGTTGATTGGGTACACTGATAGTGATTGGTGTGGAGATGTAGATGATCGAAAGAGTACGTCGGGATATGTATTCTTCATGGGCAGCACGACATTCACTTGGATTTCGAAGAAGCAACCCATTGTGACTTTGTCGACCTGTGAAGCTGAATATGTAGCTGTGTCTTGGTGTGTTTGTCATGCAGTATGGCTCAGGAACTTACTAAGCAAGCTGGAGAAAAAACAAGTCGGCCCAACCGAGATCCGAGTTGATAACAAGTCGGCTATAGAGCTAGCCAAGAACCCGGTGAATCATGAGAGAAGCAAGCATATTGACATCCGATTTCACTTCATCCAGGATCAAGTAAAGGAAGGAAATGTGGAGTTATTACATGTGGCAAGTCAAGACCAAGTCGGAGATATTTTCACAAAACCACTACCGACGTTACTGCTAGAAAACAACAAAAGAATGATTGGCATGAAAGATGGAAGAAACATTTAAGTTTATGGAGGAGTGTTATTAGATAAACGTTAAATGTCCGTTTTCATTTAATGGGTTTAGAAGTTTTGTTTTTAAGAATGAATGATGGTTAAGAGTTAGCCCTTTTTTTAGCAGTTTTGTTTTTTGTTAAATGGTTATGGGTTCTACGGTTTCTGTTTTATGGCTATTAATAGGATTTAAGTTTTTTAGCAAACTACAGCCTATAAGTAGATGTATTCTTTCTAAACAAGACAGACAACAAAGAGCAAGAAAGCAAGTTTTATAAGAGAAAGTTTTTATAGATACACTTGTGTGGTTGTCTCTTGCATCTGTGTGAAGATACCAATTCTAACAATTAATTGATATGATTAGATATAGTAGATAGAGTTACTTGATTTTAGGGAACCTAGGTTCTCAAAATCTTATAAGATAATCATTGCAACTGATAATTAGTGAGGATTTAACAAAAGAAATGACACATTAATTCTTTTAATTTTTTTTTTTCACAAAAATCAGAATTAAAACAAGTTTGAAATAGAAAGGATGAAGAAAGTTGGATCCTTGCAATTCTTATTCTTAAGGAAGGATCCAAAATTTCTTTCACACGTTTTATTCACTACCCTCAGCTGTTTTTTCTTGCAACGTAATCCCATGTATAAAGCTATTGTCTTTGAGTTTCCACTTCATGTGTAGTACATATCTGAAAGGATGTCTGCAATGAATTAGCAATGCTTCTAACCTCAGCAATCATTGCAACCACATCATTTAGTTTATTAACTGCAGAGCCCACACCCTGTGATTAGGAAATACACCAAGTCACTGATCAATAACTAGCCACCAGAAAGGTAGAATATTACTAGGTGTAGTAGGTATATGATTGCTATAAAAATTCAAAAGGGTAAGAAAATTTAATAAAAATCCATACCACACCAGAAGCCCCAGCTGTGATAGCCATAGGTGCTGTGACAGCACTCAGCCCAGATGCACACATGACAGGGATCTTAACGGCTCGTGATATAGAATATGCAGCTGCTAAAGTTGGTGTTGCCTGCAATGACCAATGATTAGAAATTTTGATAATTTAACAAAGGGTTTTTCATAATCAACCATCATTTACCAGTTTAATAATCATTACCCTTTTTTGTTTATATCCAACAACTGGGATCAAAATCCATTGGATATATATAAAGATTAATCCTTAATTGCTTTCAGGCATAAAAGTGAGGCTTCTGAATGAACGCTTTCTATTGAGAAAAATAGAATTAACAAGCTATTTGGAATGCCAGAGGTGTAAATACAGTCAAGCCCATGAACATAAAGTGCCATTAGCATATCAAGTTTTGAGTTGTGTAACATACAAGAGCACATGCAGGAGGTTAAATATTTTTTCAGACCCTAACAATGCTGATTTATGTTGTGGAGTGTCAGAGGCACTCAATCATTTAGCTAATGTTCTGGACATTTCATTTGGCTGTTTATGCCAATTTTATTGAGCTAACGTTCCTCGAGTCGAGCTTTTTATTCTCAAGCAATGAAAATTTAGGTAATAAGTAAAAGACATAATTAAAGCAAACATATTTTTCTGGTTACCTTCTCAATCAAACCCAGAACACCAGCCTTTGTAGGATTGGAAAATTTTCCTCCCTCGGTTTGAATAATATCTACACCTTCTTTTTCCAGTGACTCTGCAAGCTTGACCTGTTAAGGTTTTAGAATTTTTTATTGACATATACAGGTAAATATTGATAGCATCAGTATAGTTATGCACTGTGAAAGTCAAAATGCTGTTTGTAACCTGATCAGGGAGGCTTAGTGTGTGAGGAACAGTGACAGACAACGCTACAGATGGAAGTATCCTCCTTGTCTCCTTTGTTAGACCTAAAATCTGCACAGAAGGATAGATCATGGAAAAAAAAAAAAGAACAAGTGCAAGCTTCTATTAAAGTCTGATATTAAAATTAGTGACAAGATGCTACTAGCTATGTTGCACTGACACCGACACAGGACACGGGATACGACACGACACTCTGACACACACTCTGACACGTTAATTCTAAAAAATGTTAAATTTCGACACGTTTTGATATTATATAATATTTTTAATTTATGTAGTGTATTATATTTAGTATTCAATATAACAAAAAAATAAAGCTAAACTTATAATACCCATCAATTTTGCAAAGAAACATAATATATCTCAAATATTTATATTAAACTCAATAAAATTATAATTGTAATCTAACGAATCTAATAGTTGAAACTCAAAATGCAATGCAACGTAATCTTTGAACCTTTTTTAAGTCTTTACAATGAGTATTGGAGTGTCGGGAAGTGTCGGACACGACACGTCAAAATTTTTGAAGTATCGGTGCTTCATAGGCTACTAGCACTAATTAAAGTTAGTAAGAGAAATTCAGGAGGAACTATTTCTAAGAGAGAGAGAGAGGGGGGAGACAGCAGAAAAATGTCAAACATTGTGATTACTCATTCAAAATATCTTATTACCTTGCATACAAAATAACAAAAAAAAAAAAAAAACTAACTATTACCAGAGGTAATACTGATTGCCCTTGTTCTACTCTCTTACAGTTGTATTCTGATTACCCTTACATAATAATATCTCTCTAATCAGTGCTGACCAACTGATCCAAAATATAATACAATATTATATCCATAGCATAGTCCCTTCACAATATAAATTGCTACTGTTATTAGCATCTGATCCCCATAACCTCTTCATTCCTTCACTACCTTCTCCCTGCTACACAGACACTCATACACTGGCAAGCACATGCATATATAAATAATATGCATTTTTGTTCCTTAAGTTTTAGTGGTTATCATAACAATCTTGTTTATCATAAGCAAATCAAATTAGATGCTTTTGTTGCAGATAAAAAGTTTGTCTAGTTGAAGTCCAAATCCATTTTCTCCGGGTGTAATATGTGGGAATGACGAACATCACAAACTCAAGATTTAATAATAAAAAACTCTCTTTACCTGTTCTGGAGTAAAAACTATTCCCTTCTCATAGAATGAATCATAGTTTCCAATCTCAACCTGCCATTGCCATTAATCATGTCAATGATAAATCTCACAAGGTCCATTTTAATATCGTTTATGGCTATGCTGACTTTCATTGTGTATGGTATGACTACAGTATCTATTTGGAACACATTGGAATTGAACTAGACAAGAAGGTCAAACCATTAGTGCTCCTGCTTCAACAGCAGCTGGAAATGTCGCAGGATCTACAGAAGAAACACAAACCTACAAGAAGGATGAGTCATAAATTGTATAAGGAAGAAAAGGATCAAAACATCATATTAATCTCCTGACTACACTTACATCTACCAAAAACAAGAGTTAAGAATGCTACGTTCCATAAGCCAATTGTTCTTCAGTTCGACCTCTTTAATTTCCCTCCACATTTGGTCTAAAATGCTAAAATACATGAAAACTCGGCAGTGCCATTGAAAATATTTCAATTTCATGTGCAAGAAGAATGAGGAGGTCTCAAATTTAATGTACCTAAACTGCTAATTTAGTGAAATGAAAAGTCTGACTAAACAGGTTGATGATGAGAAGACATAATACATAAATCCTTGAAAGTAAGAGACTCGAATAGACCTTATGCAAACCAAATCAATATAACAAATTGACACATCATTACTTAAAATGCAAAATAATTGTTTGGCACGAAGATTTATGTAATTATTGAATATAAAAGGATGATGTGTGATTCGTTGATTGGTTTGCTCTACAAAGACTTGTGTAAACAAAGTCTACTAAAGAATTTCTCCTTGAAAGTTCAGCAAACCTAAGGACTCAGAAATTACCTTTTAACATAAACAAAGTGAAAACACTTAAAAGGAAAACAAAACTATAACACAAGTTTCCTCTCCTTAAGAATAGTTCCAAAACCCTTTGACTTTGGGTAGAGGGGCAGTGAAGATGGGGAAACATATAGTTAAACAAGACATGTAGGTGCAGAGAGCAGATATCTTCTTGTTGCTTATGTCACTAGCAGTTTAAAGCTACCTCTTCAATTAATACGGTTGTATAGCACATCCAAAAGATCATCTGTACAATCATGAGATCTTATTTGGATTCCTTTTTATAATTATATTCCTAGAATTAACTAACTCTAGACATGCATATTGCACAAGATGATTGGTTGAATACAGGTAGCCTTCACTTTGGAATTTTTTTTTTAAGAGTTATTGTAGGTAAGTACCGCAAATGAAAATTCAACTTTTGAGTCTTTGTCACTTGCTTCAATTGCTTTGATAATTGTAAGAGGTAAGAACTTACAGATTGAAAATTAAGGGGATTTTAAAAAGAAATACCCAAAAAATTATGATCATAAATGTATAGCTAGTTTGACATTGATTCTTTTACAATTAAATGTACATACAAATTAGAGTTAACATACATGTTCAACATCAACTTGGTAAATGATTGAGATATCCCATGACTATAATAAATTTTATAGAAGCCAAGGAAATTAGAGGACGAGCTTGGAGCAATCGTAAAGTTGCTCCTTTTTAACTGAAATATCATGAATTCGAAATAAGGAAACAACCTCTTTGCAAAAATGCAAGAGTAAGGTTGCATGGAAGGATTTTCCTCATCCTTACCCTCGCTAGCCAGGATTTCATGGGCAATGGTTTAAGGCAATTTCGAAATACCTCATGCACAAGTTCAAAATCCATCTAAAGAGAGTGGTTAAGAAATCTGCAAGAGTGTGAATATACCGGACAAGAAGTTAAGCTGATAGCTAGCTTCACCAACTCTGGGTCACATGCTATGTCCACGTGAGTTGCTCCCCCCTATAAGCACATGGCATTACAATACGTAGTCATTGACATTAGTATGTTAGTTTGTAATGTCAAATACTTCATAGAAGAAAGCATAAGAAAATAATACTATTTACAATTTGGTCAAAGATTTATTTTAGAAATTCATGCAGGTGCGCAGGAGGAGTCCCATTCCCAAACACAACATCATTCTAAATGTCCAGAGTCTAATAACGAGGAGAATAATTCATATGCATAGTTCTTGAGTCATCTATCAGCTATCAGATACAAAACCAATGCATGAATTCTAGATCTTCTTTTTCCGTGGATGAATAGTACATAACATACAGAGCTGAAGAATTGGGGAAAATGTAAAAAGAGAGGATAAAGAACCTTATCTGCAGCAGTGACAACAGAGGCAACATTGTCTTTATTAAAATTCTGCAAGCCTGAGATAATCTTCAAAAGAAGTCAAAGGTTTGTTAACATACATAGAATTAAAACACCAAAAAAATCTCACACATAATTAGATTTCAATGAATGAATTCAACGAAATCATTAAAAAGAAGAAGAAAAGAACTGATATTGATGCCGTCCCTTAAAACACTTATCAAAATGCATCCCATAAAACATGAAATTGTAGGTTGTATATTAGAAAATTATAGAACAAGAAATTCTTATGTGTCACAACTCTGGAAGAACTAAAATTGTTTATCTCCTAACAACATGTTGATTACTGTTAATTAATATCTGATATTTGTTCAAAATTCTAAATTTTCAGCTTATCCCTGAAAATTTTAGTATCATTATGTAGGACACCTAAGTAAGTGGTTATATCTTTTGTCCTCAACAGGATTGGCCTTAAGATACATAAAATAAACATGCTAAAGACACTAAACATACAGAGAGAAAAACTACATTTTTGGTTAAGAAAATCAACAGAATGAGAACATAGAACAGAAAAGCAAAAAAAAGGGTTTTGCTATATACCTTGAGAGCTCTTCGTTCTTGGAAATCCTTCAAGACAGATTCCTTGGTGGATGAAAGTAGAGCTCTGGTAGTAAAGGATGCTGTTTTTTTCAAAGGTTGTGATGGTCTCAAAGTTGTACCCAATAGAGTGTTGTGGTTTGGCTTTAGGAAGGTGTGAGAAGAAGAAGAAGAAAGTGGCATGCATGTTAAGGAATGCATGGCTAATGGTGTTATCAGTAACAAAAGCAAGGTTGGAGTGAGGAGCAGAACAAGGGAAGAACACAACAGATAAGATGGTGGTAGCTTTAAAGTGTCATATTCATGAGATATTTTTCCTTTGAGGGTCACTGCTGAGGTAATTAAATTTGGGTGCTGTGTGTACAAAAATGACCACTCTAGTTGGCATTCCAAGAAGCAACTAGCCTCGGTGGTAGCTACTACATGTGTGGCAATTTTAGTCGCAGGTGAAAATAAATTAATTCAACCTAACCACATTAAAAAATTGGGAATAAGTGTTTGTTATTTTAAATAAAATAATCGTGTTTTGATTTATATATTTAATGATTTTTTTATATTTTTTATTTTTCATAAAATCAAAATGAAAAAGAGAGAAAGAGAAAATATTGTGGAGGAAGAAGAAAATAAAAATCCAACAAAGCACTTAAAATAATATAAAGTTGTATTATTTAAAATATTAAATATTTTTCTTTAAAAAATTATAATCTTTTAAATTGGTATAAGAAGTGAACTATTTCTTTAATTGATTCAATATTTTTTTTATTTTGGAGACATAATTAATTCAATTTAGGAGTAAAACTATTTTACTAATTTGAATTGATTGAGATAAAAAAATTGAATTGAATTGAATGATATTAATTATTATAATTATAAAAATCAAATGAATTAAACCTAATCATGAATCAAATTAAACTGTATTGTTTTTTCTAAATCAATTTAAAAACCGAATTATTTTCTTTAAATCGATTTAAGAACTGAATTACTTTTTAAAATTAAATGACTTTTCAAATTTGATTTGATTCATTGAATCGAACCGGCAATCCTAAACATACAAGTATAGTTGTTTGGATTCCTGATTTGCTAGAGTCCGTAATCGTAAGAATTTTTTAATATAAAATAACACTTTAATATATTAATGAACGTTTTGTCTTCTAATTTAAAATAAGTAAATATAGGTGAAAAGGAAATACTAAATTGATAAGAAATAAAATTAAAATTTTGAATCACAATTCTTAATTATAATGCAAGAGGCTATGTTTTAAAGGTTTGCTTTTTCTAAAGTTACTTTAGATAATTTTATCTAATGTTCATCGAAACGACGTCGTTTTGGGACAGAAATCATGGTGTTTTTGTAATTTTAATTTAGTTCAGGGCTATAATAGTCTTTATCATTTTAATTTTTAAATTTTTCAACCTCAAAACGATTTCATTTCGATGAACATTAGACAAAGTTGTCTAAAGTAACATCAGAAACTTTGTTCCCACAAATTTATGGACAGAATGTTGTGTAGACGTATATTTATTAGATATGGAGATAATAGATGCTGTCATTTTGAAAGAATGATATTTTAATTTTTTTTTAATAGTCAAAATTATCTTTAGTGAAATTTTAATAATAATTATTAATTATTTAAAGATGAGTGATAATTATTTACATTATAGTCATCTACTGAATATTATTAATTAATTAGAAATTAGTGATAATCGTTGACAACAATTAGCTTAGTGTTGATTATGGAGCAACAACATGCATTTTTAATCATCGGGTAACTGTTATTGACTGATTAAAATAACTAATAGTGGTTGATGGTAAAGTTAATTTTAATTATTAAGTGAAATTATATGATTTTTATTCTTCACCAAAAAAAAAATTATTAATAACTTTAATATTTTCCTTTATAATAAATATTACTCCTCAATAATCTTTCACATTAATTTTTCTAAGAAAATTAGGTTAAATTCATGAATGTATTAATGTGTGAAAATTTGAATGACCAATCACTCCAGATAACAAATTACTCAAAATGACTATTCAAAAGTCCATCTAAAGTTTTGTACCAAAAGACTATGTGAAACCTAGCCCGAGCCAGTTGGGTAGACTCCAAACTCGGCGAATCGATTATCGGATCAATTCGAGTTAAGAATCGAACCGGTTATGAATCAGACCTGATCAAACTCGGCCAAACCCGATGACTCGGTCGAGCCATGTATTTAAAAAAAAAATCAAAATTGTTTCATCTTCTTTTTTTGTTTTTGGTGGTACAAAATTGTTTCATCTTATTAGAATAATGTAGAACCCATTTTAATTTTTTTTATAATTTTATTTGTTAGTAGTATACTCTTCTACAATGACTTCAAATTTCAGCTTCCAATACTGAAGTAATTTGCGAAACAATAAATTAAGAGAATGTGACATATGTTATTTCAATGTAGATAAATTTAAAAAATATGAGTTTACAATATCTGACCTTTTGAATGTAATTAAGAGGTATACTTATGCGGATTCTGAGTTGCAATTAAAATTGACATAGTAATAGCGTGCATGCATTTTCATTTATTTGTGCTTCATGAACTTGTAAAAGTGTGATTGAGTAATTTTTGAGTTTATTTAGTGAACATTGTTTAACTCATTTTAGATATGAAGAATATAATTAAATTTATATGTTTATATTTATATATATATTTATATATTTATATATATCCGGGTCAAAAGGATCTTGCCCTATTTATTATATATCTCTACATAAATTCAATTTAAGTTGTTCAGCCAATGATCCGCTGGTTGAACCTGTACCCTGACTGAGTTTATCACTGGTTCAGGTTTATAACATTATTTAAATAGATCATATTAATTCCTGTTTTACTGTTAACCTTCATAACTTACCGATCGACTTGCCCTTATTTGATTGTTGACTTCATGTTCTTGAGTAACCAACCCTTGTACTAGAGTAACTTACAAACGAAGGTTTTTTTTTTAAAAAAATTATTTGTTCGGCCAAAAAGGGAATACAATAAAAACCCTATACTTGAGTATTCTCTCTCCTCCAAACCAAAATCGTGTGTATTGCTAGAAAACTCCCTCAAATCGTGTGGTGGGTACCTTGTTCATCATCAATCTCTCTTTGATCATCCGATTGGATTTTGATTTAGGTATGTATTTGGGGAAAAAAATTGTTATGAACCCTAATCGAAATGAGTTCCATGTTGCTTGATTTTTATTTAATTTTTTGGATTTATGGTTGTTTTTAGTCTAGGTTTTGATGGTTGTATATGGTGCTTGTATGTGGTTGTCTAGGTTTAAAATTTTGATTTCTTTTGTTGTGATTCAGAACTATTTTTGGGAAATTTTTTTATTATGTTGATGATTTATTTTCATGTGTTTTTATAGGTTTGTCTTATTATTCATGGCTAATAGACAACCTTCCAAGAGACCTACGACAAAATGACAATCCAAGCATAGGCATGATGGGTCTTCTTCGTCCAGGACTATTGAGGAGGAGACTATCGACATGTCATATGGATACTTGTTCGAGAATGATCCCACAGACCATGCTCGATTTGTGACACAGTTTATGAGCAGAGCTATTTGTGAGCTGAAGTTGTTGGATTCAACTTTCTTCTTGACTGAGGGGTTTGCCATTGTTAGACTGTTGGACCGCACAACTCTGAGGGTACTTGTGGAGATGTTATACCATTATTTTAAGGTTATGGTGAATGCGTTCTACCAGAACTGTCATTTTATACAGGGTGAGCTGACATCCCACATCTGCAGCATTGGCATTATTATGACAGCTAATATATAGGCGAAGTTGTTAGGATACGACTTTGATGCTGAGGCTACCGCCACTTTTTTTACGGGGAGGATAATGCTACCATCGAGGGATATAAGCAGGGTGATGTTATGGAGGAGACGAGGAGGCGTGATGTTAGGCTTAGACATCAGGTTCAGTTTGGTGTAGGATTGATTAATGTTGTTTCCTGTATCTTGTTTTACATCATGACCCATATATTATTCCAGCTATTGCATAATCATGAGAAGGTGCTAGAGGCTGACTTTGTTGTGATGTGTGGTCATCCATCACAATGTACAAGTCAACTAGAGGCATTATATATGTTGTATTATACAGCGTGTTTCGAGGAAGTGTTCATTATCATCTGCGTTCCTTGTTAAGAGGATATTGGAGTATTTTGGTGTATTGGTGAAGACTAGGACATTTAAGACTGTTAGGGGTTGGAACACCAAGTTCGGGAAACGTCTCTTGGAGAAATGCAGGATCGTAAAGGTGAAAGATATGTGGCAATGAATAACATAACCTGAACCTGAAGTCCGGGTGGATGAGGAGAATGCACAGATTCTTGATGCTGACGGTGTTGATGATGGTGGTGCTGATGCGGGGGAGATGCCTATGTCGAACGTCCATCCACCTCAACCTACTCCTAAGGGTAGATACACCTTTGCCGATATCATGTCATCCATCCATGGCTTGACACATAACTTTACGGGCTTGACATATAAGTTTAGAGGATTTAGGCATAGACAAGACCAGAAGTGAGATCGTATGGAGCGTCCATTTACTAGTCTAGAGGAAAAGATTGATCGATTGGAGGTTGCATACAAACAGGCTCCTGCATGGATGAGTTTGCTGCTATTGATGACGATGATGTTGAGGAGGATACACGCTCAGATTAGAGTTTAGGGTTTTTTTATGTGTATAGATCTGTTTTAGGGTGTTGATGTATTTTTCCTTTTTGTAATAAACTTTTATTAATGATATGGTTATGTTTATTAATGTTCATTGGTGTTTAAATTTTTTGCATAATATTGTGAATGGGCCGCTTAAAATGGATCTGGATGCTACCATAACAGTTTACATGCACAAATGGTCATCCCTAGTCCAAATATAAGAGTAGATGTCAACTAAATCAAGTTTGCATCATTCTTCAACATAAATGACATTTTGGTACTATGGAACCAATTCAAGTCCTTGGTTTTGTACCTTTAATTGGATAGGAGTATTCGTAGATGTTATGAAACCCGAAAAACCATCCCCAAATCCAAATGGTACAAGTTAATTAATGTAAAAACTCATTTAGATCGAAAAATCTCATGTAAAATAATTATGAGATGATATAATAAGATGTAATCAAAACTTCTGCTCTCTAGTTAGTACAGGTTTAGGAAAATTATAACTCACTCGATTCTCAATCAAATAGGACGTACGAGGTATCAAATTAAACCTTAAGATGTCTACTTTTATGTCTTAAAAGATGGGATTTTTATGGGTTGAGATTCATCCCTAGTTTGC